ATCGGAGATAAAGTTTATCGGAGATTTGCCGAATTATTCTTTGTAAAAATCAAACAAACGATGGCTGAACAACTTTTTCAGTTCTTCCTTTTGAATATGAAAGCAGTACTCTTGATGAGATAAAAGTAAATACTTTATATACTTTTGCATAATCCAATAAAATTGACATTCTCGATATTTAGATTATTTATTGGTTGGGTTAATTTACAATCTAAAAAGTTTTATTAAAAAGTATATTCTATCATTATAAAGGGCAAAAGCTTCATTCTGACTCAACACAACTTTGCCATATTTTCCATAATAGTAAATTAGGCTTTATAATTCGTTGAAGCATGAATCGAACATTCCGTGGAGTTAGCAGAGACAGTTTATTTTTTGCGGTTTGCGATGAAAAAGTTATGAATTAATTTATTAGTTTTTAACTATAATACGCTATCTGTAGCCAGTAAAATAAAAAGGTAAAGCAAAAGTTTAAGTTTCAAATGATCGTCGTCTATAAACTATTTATGAGTAGCTTAATCAGATTACCTGTTTAATCATTTCCGTTCCAATCAATAAAAAACATGGTGAAAAAAGTCTCCTTCTGATACCAGCATGTAACGCAAGCAAAATGTATAAAGTTGCCTAATCGTTTGGATTGTAATTTACGCTAAGCTGACTGTGTGATAGGCGATGCAAGACTTGCAACAAGGCTAAGATGCGCTTTATGGCGTCACGATTATTTTTTTTTCGGCGAGCTTGGTATCGTAAACTATTACTACTAGAAAAACGTTTATACTTGCTTTTGTCCTTCGATATATTTGTTAAATTTGCGGATACTCTGGCAATATGCGACGATCTTTGCCTTTACGAAAAATCCCTGTAACGTCACTTGTGTGACATTAATACGCAAGCAAAAAACCACCCAACCATCTCAATATACGAACGTCTTTAAATCATCATGGATAAGAAATGGCTGGACAGAGTAATCGAAGACGAAATAGTCAGGTGTTATTCCGAAAATGACATTATTAACCGTACGTTGATCGGCCACGGTGGGTTTGGAGTTGTGTACAAAGCAAAGTTAAAGTATACGGGTTTAACTGTTGCAATGAAGACATTGTCGCTGAGTGCATATACGGACGAGCAAGAATTGTACAAAAGTTCGTCAAGAGGTTCGTAGTTTATTGTTGTTACTCGTCACACGAAGAGTGTCTCGAAAAGTATATTGACTGTATGTGCTTTAGTTGAAAACTCATAAGAAGGTCGATGATTATCCAAACATTATCCGGTTTTTAGGTTTATGCAAAGATCAATGATTGAATTTAGTCTTGTATGTTTCAAGAATTTTGGCTTACTTTATTATAAACGAAACAGATGCAGCCCAACACTACCATATGGTGCTTGAATTTGCTGATGCTGGGAGTCTGTGCACATACTTAGTAAGGCGTTTCAACGAATTAACATGGAAAGAAAAATACAACTTAGCCCTGGACATTACAAGCGGTTTGAAATACTTGCATGTGCTTGATATCATTCACAAGGACTTGGTACATATTATTTTCATAAACATTAAGGTAGAATAATACAATATTAAACTTATAGTAATTCTAATTCTACTTACATACAGTCTTCCACAAATGTTCTTATTCAAGGTGCCATTTTGCAAAGATAATTGACTTTGGCTTGTCTGGTATGCTAAAACAAGTTACTTCTACATCAAGAGGTGAAGGCAGTACAGCATATATTGATCCTAGCACTTTTGAAAATGAATCATATAAACGAGAAAAAAAGTCAGACATTTTTAGTCTTGGAGTAATCTTATGGGAGATTTCTAGTGGAAAACGCCCATGTGAAGGGCGCACTCAAAGATTTGAGATTGTTCTATACAGATTAAAAGGTTTGAGAGATGCTTCTTCTCCAGAAACACCAGAAAAGTATATTCAATTATACTCAAATTTAAATTGCTGGGATAGTGATCCAAACAAAAGACCATCAAGTGAAGAAGTGTATAAACAATTAAAGTGTTTGTATAATAGACAATTGGTAAAACATTAAGCTTGAGTCAATGTCACATTGGAGATTCAGAAATAATTGCTTTGGCAAATGCTTTAGAATCAATTTCTTTGACTCAATTAAATGCAACATTAAAAAATATTGGAAATGCAGATGTTTTAGCATTAGACTCTTTCTTGACTTCTTTAAATCTATCTGGTAATGATATTGGAGATGCAGGAGTAGCAGCATTGGCAAAGGTTTTAGGATCAAATGCTTCCCTAGCTTTTCTAGATTTAAGTAAAAATCAGATTGGAGATACAGGAGCAACAGCTTTGGCAGCAGCTTTACAATCAAACTCTTCTGACTTTTTTGGATTTAAATGTCAATTGTATTGGAGATACAGGAGTGACAGCTTTGACAAAGGCTCTGGAATCAAATTCTTCTCTAAATTCTTTATCTTTAAGTAAAAATCAAATAAGAAATACAGGAGCAGTAGCTTTGTCAAAAGCTCTAGAATCAAACTCTTCCCTGAATTCTTTGGATTTAAATGTCAATTGTATTGGAGATACAGGAGGAATAGCCTTGGCAAAGGCTTTAGAATCAAATTCTTCTCTGACATTGTTGAAATTAGGTGGAAGTTATATTAGAGGAAGAGCAATAGTCGCTTTAGCAATGGCTCTAGAGTCAAATTTTTCTCTGACTTTTTTAAATTTGAGTTACAATTGAATTGGAGACACTAGAGCAGCTGCCTTGGCAAAGGCACTAGAATCAAATACTTCCTTGACTTTGCTAAATTTAAGTGGCAATCGTATTAAAGAAGCAGGAGCAACAGCATTGGCAAAAGCTCTAGAATTAAATTCTACTTTGACTTCATTAAATTTAAGTGGAAATTATATTGGAGAAGGAGGAGGAGGAGTAGCAGCTTTGGCAAAATCTCTAGAATCAAATTCTTGTCTAACCTTTTTGGGCTTAAATGTCAATTGTATTGGAAATACAGGGGCAACAACCTTAAACCTTGGCAAATACTTTACAATCAAATTCTTCTTTGATTTCTTTAAATTTAAATGTCAACTGCATTGGAGATACAGGAGCAACAGCTCTGGCAAAAGCTCTAGAATCAAATTCATCTCCAACTTCATTGTATTTATTTGGTAATGATATTGGAGATACAGGAGCAACAGCTATAGCAAAAACTCTTGAGCTAAATTCCTCTTTGACTTCTTTGGATTTGAGTGAAAATAATATTGGAGCTACAGGAGAAATAGTCTTGGTAAAGGCTCTAGAATCAAATTCTTCTTTGTCCTTTTTGGATTTAAGTAATAATAAAATTAGTAAACCGTCAGCTACTTTCAGTAACAGAGACTCCAGAATTAAATTTACATAGTCACATTGGAAGCACTCATAATACAGAAGTACAACTTGATACAGATTAAATAAACTTTTTGACGAGGTCATTTTTCGGATAGCATTATAATTAATAGCCTATATATTTAACTATAATAAACAAACATTAATTTGCTGAATATGTTGCAAATGAAAAGTATATGTAGTTTACAGAAAAACAGTGTAAATTCTAGTAGTTATTTTTGTCTTCATCATTTGCATAATCAAATTTTTTTATTACGTGTGCAAACGTTAAACAGTTAATCGCGTAGACTGTCATTATACTTAAACCAAACTGATAACGTTAACTTTTTCTCTGATAACTTATAGGATTACTCAATTAACAGATCTTAGGCGGCGCAGCTAACCTTGTTACACCGATATCGGGGAGAATTTGTCAACGCAGCAGATCGTTCATCTCGTAGCTGCGATAAATTCTCGAACGATAATTATTTTGTTGTTCGAAAACTGCTCTATGTAAATATTGTATTAAAATTTTCCCCTTCGATTTTGCGATAATGTTGTTATTATATTATCGTAGGTACCCTTACTTATTATTATTACTTAGATACGCGAGTATAGTAATACGCAGATACATCATATAGGGAGTGAAGCGCACATATAAATAATTATTGTCACTTATCGATTTAATTCAGCTTTAAGTGACAATCATTGTAGTAAGAGAGCAAATTGTGAAAAACCCCTCTCAGCAGAACGCACACTCATAATTATTACTAATTAACTACCTTTTATATAATAATAGTACATTCTATGCAGTAATTTTATGGCTTAATTAATTATAGCCTATAGAGCACTTCCTGTCCTGTTGTGTACTCTTATTATGTATTTTGCAGTGAATGTCATAGAGTCCATAATACATGCTGTGTAGTTGTTTCAATTTACATGTAGTCTGGTAGGACCTGTAATATGTAAGTAAATTGGATGTCTCATATAATATCATAATTGATATAGAATCATCATTTCCTATTCTATTATAATACATAATAATAAAGAGTTTTTTGTAAGTTAATTATACCAAATTCCTGTAAAATTACATAATGTTTGCACTTTATTGAATAAATTTTATTTATTAATATGCATAAAATATGAATGCCAGACATACTGCATACATTCTAATAAACTTATGACAAATAAAATTTAATTCATTCTCTTAATTGCAAATACTTCCCAGTCTACCCATTCAAATATATCTGAGGTAGACCTTATTGCAATCTGGTATGATAACTTTTTAGAACAAGAGCTTTCACTAAATTGTAAATCAGGACCTTTCCCAAATTGAGGATAGGTGTGTGTACTTTGATAAATAGCATGCTGATACTGACTGCTAGCAACAAAACTCACTATCCCTTAAACTGTTTTGCAGGCAAATTTGCCTGCAAAATCGTAATTTTTGGCAATTTTCTGTCACTGCGCAAGATTTTATTAAGTATAAGCCCCCTAAAAGTGGGGTTTTCCTGAATCGGCAAGATGTAAACAATCATCGTGCAACAGAGATATCATTCAGATTTTCCACATACTTGAGGAATTCACTCCTTCATCTCCGATCGCATTTCTAATAAAATTATAAGCATTACATACTCACTTCTGTGTGCTGTTTATTTAAGCTGAGTTTATTTCAAATGTCTACGCGTGTTAACCCTGGCTCTAGTTCTAGCAATAGTTCACAAATTTCTTTATCCGACTCTCGTTATGTAATCTCATTTGAGCGTAACAATCATGGTGAGATTTTTATCGATGATATGTTAGCAGAAATGATTGAAAATGTGTATGCTGGGGATGTCTCTACAGATGAGGAGATGGAAGCTGAAATTGAACAAGAAATACATGTTATTCAAAGTGATACAGAAGAGATAACAGTAAAGGGAAAAGGTGGTGTAAGTAATAGGGGGAGAAAGGGAAAGTACAAGAGTAGGGGAGAAGAAAATGAAGGAATACATGAGAGTAGTTCAAAAAGGGTAAGGCATGGCAATAGAGGCAGAGGGAGGGGTAGAGGAAAGGGTCAAGAAAGAGGAAATGCAGGCATTGTGTTGCAACAAACTGCAAGTCTTCCACCTCCAACATTTGAACCAATGCAAAAGTGTCAACCGGCCCACAGAGGTTATGCAACACTTCCTCACGAAATGCTCTTAGGAACTGTTACCCCTCTTGCAATCTTTCAGTTATTTTTTACTGACAACCAGTTGCAAACAATTGTTGAGAATACAAACAAATATGAGCAAATGAAAGGATTCAGTGATAGTGACCGTCGTCCTTGGAGTCCTCTTACATTAAAGGAGTTAAAAATTTGGATCGCCCTGGTCATTTACATGGGTGTACATAAAATCTATGCTGTCGAAGACCTGTGGAATAACAATGAGAGAAAACCGATTCATAATATTAAAGATTTTATGACTTTGGTTAGATTTCAACAGATTAAGCACTTCTTTCATATTTCTTCTCCCAGTGAAACTCAGTCTTTCTGGTATTCTAAGGTTGAACCGTTAGCATCGCACCTGAGAAATATGTTTAAAAAACTGTACATGCCTGGTACGAATGTTTCAGTTGATGAAATGATTGCTCGATTTTCTGGTCGAAGCATACATACCGTTCGGATGAAGAATAAACCAACGCCAGAAGGCTATAAAATCGTTTCACTTTGTGATGCCGGTTATACGTGGACCTTTACGTTCACATCACGAATTGAGAAAAATAGAGAAATAGAACAAATTGCCGGGCTTACAGAGACTGGATGCTTAGTATGGCATTTAGTACGTCAACTCCCTGATACTAAATCCTATGATGTGTATATGGATAATTACTTTTCTAGCATCGCACTTTTCAAGTATATGCGCGATAATGGTTATGGCGCCTGTGGAACTGTTCGTTTAAACTCTGCTAAGTTTCCTGCAGAGCTAAAGCATGGCAAGTATCAACGGTTAGATTGGAATACATTATTAGGAAAGGTAGTAGAAAACGTTTTGGCAATATTATGGATTGACAATGGCCCGGTAACTATGTTAACTACAATCCATAATGTTTGCGGTGATGATTGGAATGTGGCACGTGAGCGTCGTAGACCAAGAGAAACTAGTACCAATGCAAATACCGTTCGGAGAGTCTTCGGAAATCTTTCCAAAAAAAGTTTACAGATTCCCAAGATTATTGATGACTATAACCATTATATGGGTGGGGTGGATATTGCAGACCAACTCAGAGGGTACTATAATTGTCAGTTAACCGTTCGCCGGACATGGTTTCCTTTGTTTTTCTGGTTATTAGATACTACACTTGTTAATTGCTTTAGACTTTATTGTAAGGTCACTGATCAGAGAATTGCAAACAAAGAATTTAGACTTGATCTAGCATGGGATTTAATCAATAATACGGT